CTGACAACACCAAGTCAAGGGTTAAGACCCCCTTACCGGTCATCTTTTAAAAAAAAAAAGATCTCATAAAAGGGAGAACTCACTTCTGATTTGACAAGAATCCTGTAGGACTGATCTGCCTAGTGGGTCATAGGATACTTTTCTTGGAAGGGGGAATGATCGATTTTATTATCCTTTATTTGATAAAGCATATGCTCATATGTAGATGAAGTTTCCAATGGTCCAATTCCGTAACTGATATTCTCTAACTGCAACAGTCCTCTAAATATTCAAATACAAAAAAGAAATAAAAATATAATGAGTATAGATTTCACACTGAAAAATGTAAATCACTACTAAATAAAAACATTTAATAGAAATTTTATAGTGGTTTTGAAGTCTATTATGTAAGAATCATCACATCTTACTTGGATTAAATTTCAAACTCAATTTTATACCCATCTTCTGTCTATTAGAACATTTAATAGTAGTTGTGGCTCCAGTGTGGCCAAAAATGTGAATACTCTTTATGCTGGCAGAAGCTTTTTCTGCATAAATTTCATAACAGCAAAAGTGGGTCTGAGACAAAGAATAAGGGAAGAGGAAGTGAAGGAGATAAGAATACGTGTATGAGAAGAAACACGAAGTCTATATTTTTTTGTCTTCACTCTACCCTCTGAGACGTTTCTGAGAAGGGCTCACACAACATCTTTCATCACGCAGATCTCTCGAATATGTCATTACCTGAGACCAGAGCAAGTGTTTAGTGTCGCAACTGATTCTGGAATTTCTGCAGCATATCCTTGATAAAAGCAATGACCCTATACAAGGCAGAATGTGAAGATATGCTCATAAGTGACTTGTAAATAAAGTCCTTGGTTTTATCCTTACTCCTTAAGTGTCATCAAATATTCAAATTTATCATTACCATAATATTATTCACCAGATATTCAATTTCCTTGTTATCTCTCTATAATATCTTCCACTAAGCCTTTTTCTGCCTATGAATAATCATAGCTATCATCCATGTAATAATTCTAAAATTCTTGTTACAATTCTAAATTTTTGACAACTTTTTTTATCTGCATCTTTTCTTTCTCAGCCGCATTTCCCAAATGTATAATCTGTAACTGTT